ATAGAATACTCATTCTGCAATGTAAATCAGAATTCTGAGTATATTATAATGCACTATGCATTATACAATAGTCTCAGAGTCAGATTGAAAGAGAAGTATAATCTAAATCAATTAAATATGAGATTCTTATTCTCAACTAAGACAGGAATTAAATACTTAATAGACTTTCTATCAGAAACTCAAGCAGCTATAAGAAAATGACTGAATTCAGAAATATCTGAATATGAAGAGAAGGAAATTGATCAGATATTATAGTCTGTTAAAACAGCTATATACTATCTTTTGATAATTGATTCTCTCTTTATTTTACTTTACTTTTTTCTTTCTATTCTTTTCTATCTATCTATTTATTATGTCTATCTTTAAGACTGTGTTCTCTTTTCTTTTGTCATGATATTGTCAAAAGGTTTCAAAGTATCAGAAGATGTTAAAATACTGCAATTTGTAAACAGTTTTTGTATTCTGAGCTGGAATTTTCTGATTTTGCATATCTGAAATTGATGAATGTATAATAGTTAACTTTATAGATATAGGAAAAACCCTGAGAACTAAAAGTTCTCAGGTAGATGTCATAGTCTCTAACTGCATACATCTATAATTGAAGAATAATAATAATAATAATAATAATGAACTTGAGTGAAAGATTGAGAATATTCTCAATGAGAGACTCTGTGACTGTGACTGATAATATCTTGTAAAATAAGTCAGTTATAATTATCTGATCTGAACTCTGAGTTCTGTGTTATCTGAGATCACAGCTCTTGAATGATGAAAACTACATATAATCAGAGATGAAAGAGACTAATATGATAAGCTGTATCTAATCAATTATATAGACTATTTTATTATACTTCATAGATTTCTGCTGAAAGCTCTGATTCTCAGTCACTGATTCTCAGCTAAAAATCTATGAAATTTGTATTCTTTCACTCTGAAGCTTCATCATGTACATCACTGTATACATGTATAAATATTCACTTTAATTACTGATTTCTGCACTTTCTCTTTCTTTTTCTTTTCTAATGTTTTTTACTTTGTTATATAAGATCTATAAATATTATACTGATCTATTCAGCGTAGGCCTCTCACAGCAGCTGAGTATAAAATATTTGAAATAGTGTATAAGTTAAATATTAAAACTCATGTTCTTAAGAGCTGATAAGTTTATTATATTAAAATTAATACAAATTGTAATATCACATTCTATAAAGTAAGATAAGTTATTCAAGACTTTTATTAATAAAAAGATATTGATTTCAGTGATATCTATACATCTGTTATTTTCATCTCTATTATTTATACAATACTTACAATTACAGCAGCTAGAAACTGAACTATTTATTAAATTAACTTTATTACAGTATTTTTAAACATGAGTCTTTCACTTAATAAGTAACTCTATATAAGACAGCTGACTAGCTTTAATAATAATATCAGTTATATCTGCTTACTTCTATAATCTCTCTATAGTCTGAAACAGATACTCTATCTATAATTCAATCTTCTTATAAAGTATCTAAAATATATTGATTTCAAGTTCTCTTATTATAATGAGAGTCTCTGATTTAAAAGAGATTCTTAAATCTATCTGACTCTATATATAAATAATATTAAACTTATAGAATTAGATATAAATACTCTTGAATAGATATTCATATAAATTATCAATTAATTCACTGTAAAGCATCTGAACCCTGTCAATTACTACTTAGATATGAAAATTGAAAAGAATAAAAGTAATATTAATCTCTTACAATGTATCTATATTGAATCAATATTAAATAAGTATAAAATGACAGACTGTAAAGCTGTAAGAACTCTTATGAAATCTATATTTAACTTATAATCTGACTCTTACCTCTTTAATAAGTTTAAATATTAATAGACTATTAGATCTCTTTAATATTTCATCATCTATACTTATCTCAACATTTTCTTTATAACTATAAAGCTTATATACTGATTAAGTAAGTTAATACAAGCTTGCTAAGCTATAGTTAAAAGACTCTTTTATTATATTTACAGCACTACAGACTACTTTAGTCAGTATGCAATTTATATAGAAGATCTTAATTTTAAAGTCTATATTAATTCTGATTAAGTAGGTAATACTGATAACTGTAAATTTATATTAAGTCTTCTCATCTGACTAGCTAACAGCTCAATTATATAAAAATTAATTAAAGAGATAATTATAGCTCTAAGTGTTATAGAAGCTGAGTATATATTTATTAATAACAATTTAAAAACTATAATCTGACTATATAGACTACTAATTGAACTTAGATTTCTACTCTCTGACTTTACTGTTTCTCTATATATTAATAATAATGATATAAGTATTATAGTAAATAATAACAACATTATCTGCAATATATACTATATTAATATAAAACATTATTACATCTGTAATACTGCTGTATCTAGTATTATCAAGATTAAATAGATGAATACTACTAATATAACTATGAATACTCTTATAAAAGTATTATTCTTTAAAGTCTATGAAAACACTCTGATTAATATAAAGATTTAAATACTCACAACCTGTAAAACTCTGCAGATATTTTAACATATATAAAATCTAATCAGATTAATATCTCTATACTAATTTTCTTTAATTATTTAACTTTTATTAGTTTTCTGTAAAGTCTTTGATAAAAGACACTATTATTTTTATATATAATATTCTTTCTCTAGTTATAGAATTACTCTGCTGAGTTGTAAATATCTACTTAGTAGAGTATTAATTAAAAAGAGTATCAGATTCTCTCTCTATAGACTGACTACTTTTATATAATAAAGATATTCACTAATCACTTGATAAATATTTATTATATATAAAAAGATCATATAATAGATAGATCTTAATAATATAATTAATTACTGCATTATATCACCTTCATTATTAGCCCTGGTGGCCGAATGGTTAATGCGGTCACTCAGTACCGTCTTGGCGTGGGAAACCAGAGCATGTGAGTTCGAAACCCGCAGAGAATACATTAAATCCGGAACTCAAGCATCTCAGGTTTCTAATAAATACAGAGGTGTACAAATCACTTCAATAAAATTGCTCTATGTTTCTGAGCTGAGAAGTTATTATTGCATGTATTTAATTATCACTTCTTTGTATTTTCTATGTTCTTGTTATCTTGATGTGATCTTAACACCTGTATTTCCTCCTGTATAATCAACACTTAGCCTGTATTTAACATCACGCAAGGACTCATCATAAGCTTCACTTGTATATGAGTATAATGAAAGAATAATAATAATAATAATAATAACCTTCATTATTAAATAATAAAGTAATTATTTCTTAATATTCTTTTAAATGTAAAAAACTAGCAGTTTTACTAATTATTTTATTTATAATAAATCAGTATATGCTTTTATTTTTAGACTAATTTACACATTTTTTAAATCACAGTATAATATCAGTAAATGAGAAATTTTTTATAATTAATAATTTTATAATTTGACTTTAATAATATTTATTTAGTATAATAATTAATTTTTCCTACTTATAATTTATTTACTGTGATTTCACTGTTTATTTATTATTATACTATGATTTACAGTTTAGTAACTATGTTACTAATAGAACAATTACTCTAATCTTTTCTAGTATGAATATTATATGAATCACGTGCACGTGAGATAATCTCTGTAACAATCTTATCTCAGTAAGCTCAAACACTTCTTTAGATATTTTATTACTGTTTTAACACTGAATTAATAATTATATTATGAGCTAATCTCAAATAAGTAATAAGCTAACTCAAATAGTAAAATCAGATTATATAAGTGATAATATCTTACAAAGTATCTGAGAAGAAACAGTTTCTGATTATTAGTAACATAGAAAGAATTTACTCAGTACTCTGAGTATGAAAGAGAATTTCAACTTAACTTCATAAATTCATTATTTCTGTATTATCTTGAAATCTTAGAATAACAATGTTCTTATAATGTACCTGATTTTTATATTCATATCTCAAGTTCTTAGAATAGAAGTATCATCTCAAAGTTGAATAGTGTGTTTTTGAATACAGGAATTTTAATTCAATTCCTCATATAAAAAAAAGCTCTTAGAAATTCTGAGATCAAAAAATATGATCATTTTCAAGAGTATATATCTATCTTAAATATAGATTTTTTTGAAATATTAAAGCAATACTTCTATTCTTCTTCTCTTTAGCTATAAGCTAAGGTGATTTTCAAATCTCAAAGATATGTGAATATATAGTAATAGAAAGTCAAAGTTGAAGAATCTGAAAAATCCTTGTAAATCTCAGGAATCTTCATTGAAGATGAAACTGTTTCTTCTCAGACCCTCTGGTGAGGATTGCTCTGAGCACAGACTTGTATCAAAAGTAGGTTAGTGTCATGCCGGATTAGTTAATAATGCTGCAACCTGTTCAAACCGAGCCAGAGGTCTGAGCCCGCTGAGATAATGGCAACCACGAGTTAAAGGCCGCTCGCTACACATGACATCTCGAGCTTGCCTTACCGGAAAAACGTAGGCTTATTATACGACCGGGTTATGGTTGTTCCGCCGTGCCAGTCGCCGACACCGTCGCCGAACCGTAAAATATAATATAATGATGGATTAGCCGTGGAATCACTGTAAATGAGTTATGAACAGAACAAAATCATCATCATATTAACAATGTCACTGATTCCTATCTATATAATCACTAATTCTAAAAAACATCTCATTCACTAGAATCATTCTCTATTGAAAATCTGCCATGTTTCTCTGTAATTCCTCTCAGATTCTTCAAATCATCTCTATATCATTGTCATTATTTCCTGTCATATTCACATCAACATTTATTTCAGAGAACTTGCAAATTGATGTTGAAGTTTGTAAAGAGTCAGTGTCAATGATCATTCACTGTTTAAGAGAGAGGATTTCAGAGAAATCAGAAGTCATGTATTTATTCATCTATATCATTATCAACTTCTGTATAAATCTGAGAATCATTTCACTGATTCTAACTTATCTTTTCACTGAGAATGTCAAGAGTTTCAGTGCTGCTCATAGTCAGAGAATCAATCAGAGTCAGAAGATCAGAGAAGAAAGAAAAGAGAGAATCAACAGCAGTAGTAGAGATATCAGTGAGAGAGACAGAAAGAGAATTATTATTATTATCAAATTTCTCATCACTACTGCTGCTGTTGCTGACTGTAACTGAATTCTTATCAAGATAATCTGTGAGTCTCTGAACATGCTTCATTGTTTCATACATCTTAATAATAATACAGCTAGCTTCAGTATTGATATTATTTATCAAATTTATAAGATTCTTCATCACTGATTTTTATTCTTCAATATAACTGACTATCATTCTCAAAAGCTCATAATACACTTCAAGCTTGATAGTTTCAATGTTAAGTTTTATCTTTTTAATCATGATTTTCTTCTTTTCTGCAGCAACTTTTTTCTTTTCAATTTCTAATTTCATTCTTTCAATATTCAACTTAGTCTTCTTAATCTCAATTTTAGCTTTTTCAGCAGCACTGATAATGATATTCAGAGCTTTCAGAGCAATAGTAACACTTTTCATGCATTGAGCTTTCATTTTCTGTTAGTGAGTTTTAACTTTCTTGATCTATTTTAAAAGATTCTTCACTGATTTCAACATAGCTCTCTTTATTATTTTCTTGAAATCATTCAATATAGAAAGATAAAAGTCATGAGTTCAGATCAGATTATTAACTTATTCTTTTAATTCTTCAGAGATAATTGCACATTTCTTTTTCTCATAATTGTAATTTATATAAGACTTTGAGCTTCTCTTCATCTTATCACAAGCAGCATTCAAATAACAGAGAAAAATATACTCAATATAGTACTTGTATATTATTTATTTATCAGACTGCTTTATCAGAGTATTTAGACAGCTGCTTACTTTCTTCTCTTGAGTCTTTGCAGCAGCAGCATGAGTATACTTGAAGATATTGCTTATTATTTTAATACTGCTGCTGTTGTTATCACTGTGATTGATACTGCTACTATTATTGTTATTACTGTGATTAATGCTGATGTGATGAATTACTAATATTCTTGATATACTACACAGATAAGATATCTTGATTAGAACTTTTCTGATTAAAAGCTTTCTATTATAACTGACAGAATACTAACTGAGCTGAGAGATGAAGAAGAGCAGAGTAAGCTGAGTGAACTGAAAATGATCTTTACAGTGTATTATTGTTGTAAGAAGAAGAAAGAAGAAAAGAAGAAAAAGAAAAATGTGAGTCTTTATATATATTGTTAATTCATCTTTGCAGATTATCATACAATGAATGTAAATACTTTTATATTTCATCTCTGAGTGCAATCAGCATATCTGACAGATTTCATTCATATCTTAATACTTTTTGTGCAGGCTATCACTGATTGAATTACAGCTATTTTGAATACAAAATCATTTCTATTAACTAGGAATAAGTGTTCAATGCACTGTCAGAAATATATCTACAGAATTCAAGATTTTCTGATACAGTGAAATCAGCAAATTCTATACAAATTACAAGATAGAGAATATAACAACTTTCTTCAGTAAATATCAAGACAGATATATTCTAATTATGTGTATTAAAGTATATATTAACTAATTTATATATAAAACTCATAGAAAACTAAATATATTGAAATATAAATAGATTGTGTTGAAAATCTCTACATCACTGATCTGTCTTTCACTGAAAGTGTTTCTGAAAATTTGATCTTTTTTCACACCTTATCTCATGCATCTTTCATCAGATGTCTCTTTTTTACTGTCAGAGTATTCTGAATTGTCTCAGTAAAGTTATCTCTGACAATTTACTGATATTCAGAAATATCATTTATCAGATCTCAGAATGTCAGAATATTTTATCATTGCAGCATAGCTGTGATGGAATTTTCATTTATATCAGCATCATCAAATATTTTGACCTGAGTTATAAGATTGATATATATCTCTATTTTTCAGAATCAGTTTCTAGTTTTTCAATCTGAAGTTTTCAATTCAATATCTTTAACTAATGAATATTCAACTTACATTTCATATATCATTGTTCTCACTCAGAGAATCAATCAAAGTCAATGATTCTCTACACTCAGTAAAAAACCAGAAAGAACTTTTCAGTGATAAATAAATCACAGAAGTATTCAAAGATAGTTGATTCTTTATAACAGTTATATAATTCAAATATCACTGAACTTTCTCTACTCTTTGCCTTCTCTCATTGAATATGATTTTATATTAATAAATGATTAGCTAAGTTGATCAAAAAAAATTTTAATATTTCACTGAAAAGTTGATATATTTACTAAAATCTAATACTACTTGTCTTCATTTCTTTAAGAGTTCAGAACTTTCATGTTTTAATCACATTCAGTATTATCATTCTGCTGAATGAAAAGATGTATGATATTTTATTCTTTATTTTTATCACACTTGCAACTGTTCAATTCAAATTATCTTTATTAAAAGAAAGAAAATACATTCATTTTGTCTTCAGACACAGACACTGCTCTGTCAGTCAAATTTCCTTCTTATACCTTTCTGTATTCAGATGCCAGGTTCAGCAACACCTTTTTAACAGACTGCTTGATGTCAGTGATGAGTTTGACTTCTTCTCATCTGACTGATATTCATCATTACTATCATTATGTTCATTCTATATTCAGATATATTAATATCAGATTTCTTTTGAAATCAGCAATTTGTCTCATTAAATCTATCAGATGAAAGAGTTCAGAGAGATCTAGTAGAGCAGAATTCATGACAATGTTCATTTTCAGAATCTTGATAAAACTCTGATAAATTTGTGATATGAATTTTAACAAATTGCAGGAATATAATTTTGAAACAAAGAAAGTAGTTTGATTATTAATATTAAATTGATATAGATTGTCACTGATTGCAGCTCTTATTAATATATTTCTTTTTAATAATTCAACCTCATCTCTTTATTTTATCAAGACTGCTCATTCACTTCATTTATATCTTTTCAACTACACAACTTTTTTCTACAAATCATATCAGAAAGTAAAATGTTACATCTATTTAATTAAAATCTGAAACACTATCTGCTATCTGTCTCTAGACAAGAATCTGGGAATGATCAATCAGAATTTCAATCTCAGAGCTCTCTTTTCTTAGAAACTGTAAATAAAGATTTCACTGAAAGTAATTTCAATAATGATGCTTCTGATGAAGAAGCATTACTATTTTCAGTAAGTTTATCACTTTTAATGTCTCTATTATTATAAAAACTAACATTCTCTAAAGACAGAGTCATATAATGAGAATGCTGCTGATAATGTTGAGTATATTGAGTGACTTTTGAAAGCAGCTGCTAAGAAGAATATTTCTGAAAATGATGATTAAGAGAATTCTGATGAGTCAGTCACTGATAATATTGAAATGCCAGCTGCTGATGCAATTACTGTTACTATTACTGATCAATTTATTGATTCTGATTCAGCAATTGATATATCTCACAAACACAGTAACTTTGAAATGAATTCATTTATTCTGACAATGAGACTCTGGGTCAAAGAGTCAGATATTTCCTGAAAAAACTACAAATTATTAATACAAATTCTGTGTTTATTGAAGAATACATCACTGATAAGTCTGCTCTCAGAAGATTTCTCAACTCTGAAAAAGCAATGCAGAGCATAATTTTCAATTTTATCAGTTAAGAAAACCTCAATTTCAATAGTGTCATTAATATAAATATCAACTCTGAGTTCTGCTCAGAAAAATCTTGCTGAATCCTTCATAAGATTACTCTACTTTTAAAATTTTATTCTCTTGATATCTGCTCTTCTCAAATCCTCAACTTTTCAGCAACAAATGCATATAGAAATGATAGAAATTGTCAACAATCTCACAGAGTTATAACAATCTCACAGTTGAGAAAGCTCAGTTAAATATTATTCTGATAACTTCATATAATATTCATCAAATAAACCTATTTTTTCTTCTGATTTTATTCAGTATCAGTGTAGAAATCTCAAATACTTTTACAAATCAGAGTTGAATGATATATCTCACATTGAAAGAGTGTATTTTATCAGATATAATCACTGACATTCAGATATGAGATCTCATATAATAGTTCTGAAAGTTTAAGAAGCTATTCACTATACTTCACAGACTGCACAAAGATTATCATTCTTGAATTCATTATTTAGTCTCTTCAAAATAATCACAATGAAGAATGAGATAAAATATATCTTAATTATTCAAGTTCTCAATCAACTTAATATTTATATGAATATAGTATTTGAATCAGGTTCTGATCTGCTGGTATATGAGAGTCAAGATCAGTATTTTCTTCATCAGATCATAAGGATCAAAACTGAAGTTATTAAGATATAATTATATTACAAATCTTTGCTGATTCAGACTGAGTTGAAAATTGCAGTATATGAATAAGATCTTTTGAAAAGTATATTTTATTCTGATATATAAGTTATTTCCCTGTCATATCAATTATTTATTAATGAATTTGATTTATATTGAAACATGTATCAAAGCTTGATGAGTTTTTATTTGATTCCTGCACTGAGCACTGTTAAGTGCTTAAAATAAAACAATATTTTTATTCTAATCTTTGATTCTCATAGTATCAATTTTTCTGATACAGTTACTGCATTGTCATATGACTTATCTACATTGAATTGTGAGAGGATTATGATGAATATTGATGAAAAAAAGATGAGAGTGATTGCATCTTGTATTACATTTCTTGAAGATATGTCATAGTAAAATAGTAACACAGAGATTAAAGAATCAACAATAAGAAAATCATATTAAAACTGCTTTATCAATAATAAGAATTGACTGAATCTGAACTATAATCTACATAATAACAGTCAATTTCACTATCATATATAATATCTTCAGGCTAAACTGAATGATCTGTCAAATTCCACACATAGATAGACTGACCGTGTGACCGTGTCTGAGACCAGGACCAGAATTTTTGATAGTCTCATTGTCAATTTGACAGATCCCATTACACGGTTCTAACATTAGATAGTAGTCCCATACTGTCCCAGTGGGACTTACTGTCTACTCTTGTCACATTTTCCAAATGGGATCATGATTTCCACTTCTCAATTTAAATTATTTTTATTGCTTTAAATGGCTTTAAATCTCATTTGAGTGTTACCAAAAAGCGTTACTTTTTAAAAAATTAAAAATAGTCTAAAAAAAACCTTAAAATGTCTAAAAATAGTAACTTTATGCCAAGAATGGGACTAAATGGGACCAAATGAGACCACTTTCTCATTTTTTTCAAGTCATGGTCCCATTTTAAAATCTGATATATAGTCACTTTGCATGTTTTTTTGATAGCCAGTCCCAGCGGGATTCACGCCAAGAAATGTATGGGATCAGACCAAATGGAACTAAATGTGAAATTCATGGTTCCGGCGGCCAGTCTACACACAGAGATCAAATGTGTCAAGAGTAAGAAATGATATCACAGACTGTATCTCTTTTTCAGATATATCTAAGTTTGAATTTGATCTCTTTTTTCTCATCTGATTCATATCATAGTGAGTTCACTGATA